TTGTGGGGCTTACTATTTTTCTAAGGGCAAAAATCGTCCTCTACACGATGGTAAAAACCGTAGATCGCTAGGACTTTTCCATAAAAAGTTATTCGAAAAACGCCACTCTGCACTGTATTTATGGATCAATAGTACCTTCCCCCTTTCTCTGTAGTGTGATAACAGAAGTACCGATACGTCATGTTACAGCTGCCGATTTGACGGTTCGAATAAGATAAGAGAAACCGCAATATGTGTTCACCCAAAAAAACTAGATAGTTTTTTAAAATGACCTACTGTCATATTGAAGGAGCAGTTCACGTGAAGCAAACTAAATGACTTTTAAGGTTTGAGATCAATCAAACACCTTCGCTATATACCATTTTTAATGCTGAATTCAAAAAAATTAGTTTTAAAACTTTTACCCCCAAAAAGATTTTTTAAAATTAAAACTAACGCTTTCTTATTCAGCTCGGTGTCCTCTACCCAACCATGTATAAATACATCAAAAAGAAAAAGTTACTAAAACATCGAATTACAGGCGTCTTAAAATCGCATAATGTTATTGGACCACTTTTGGGTTTATGTTTATTTATAAACTATCGTCAGCCTACTGCAAAACATACTGAATATCATCCGGATGTGATTCTTTAGAAAGATATTTCTAATGTAAGTTTATTTCATTGTACGAGCGTGACATACTCTCCTCAAAATACTGCACTGCACTGTCTTCAACCGCTTGTTAACAAATGCTTCTACTTTATTCGTTTTACATGCACAACACCGGATTTAGGAACGATGCGCACAAACAATGTTGCGCACGGATTCATGCGCACGAGGAAGCTTGCGCACGGGTACCTTACGCACGAGGAATGTTCCGCACAGGAATCTTACGCACCAGGTTGTTATGCACGCACACTTGCGCACGTAATACAGAATGAGATAGAAAATCAAACTGATGATGTTCTGTCATCACAGCTTTTTTTTAGCTTTCAGTTTTTAAAGAACATAATTAATTATTGTTAATAAACTAAACTAAACGATGATGTTTCGTAAACAATATAGTACTATAAAAGATAGTTCTGTGCGTTCTGTGTGTTCATTTAGATCAACGTTTATTAAATTTAGTGTTAAATCCATATACAGATATAATTGATCAAATCAATAATCTAGCTCATAATATTTCCCGGAAATAAAATAAAAAGAAAACTTAAATAAAAAGAAAATTTCGAAAGTGTATAGTAGTGTAATATTGCAGTTTATTAACAATAATTAATTATGTTCTTTAAAAACTGAAAGCTAAAAAAAAGCTGTGATGACAGAACATCATCAGTTTGATTTTCTATCTCATTATGTATTACGTGCGCAAGTGTCCGTGCGTAACAACCTGGTGCGTAAGAATCCTGTGCGGAACATTTCTCGTGCGTAAGGTACCCGTGCGCATGAATCCGTGCGCAATATTGTTTGTGCGCATCGTTCCGGAACCCACAACACCATATGCAGCTCATCAATTCAATGTGTACTCACACTCACTCGTCTAACTTCTTCAACAGTATCTAGAAGAACAAGAAAAGATAATTTTGATTGTTTATAAATGTTCAGCAACACATCAAAATCAATCATAATTTTTTCCTGTTTACAAAATGCATATTTTTACACGCGATGTGTATACGCGTTCTTCATCAAACATCTGTTCATTTTTATATTTTGTAGGGCTCTAGTTTACTTGAAAATTATCTGGCATGCAGCTTTTGTCTTTGCATTATCTTGGTGAATATTTTGCGAATGCTTAATCTGCACATACAATCAGCTGTATTAGCTCTAGCCTCGATTATTGGTTGGGGTTATATGTTATTTTTTGTTATGGCATTTCGTTTAACCGGTCCATTCATTGTTATGATTTATACAATGTTGTTCAATGATGTTCTGCGTTTTTGTATCATTTACATGGTGTTTTTAGCCGGATTTTCACAAGCATTTTTTATTTTATTCAATAATAACGGTTTGCATTGATGGTCGTTTTCTTACTTTATTTGTTTCAGTTTTATTTGTCATTCCAGGCTTTAGTGGCTTTTTGCAAAGTGTAAAACTGAGTTTTCTTGGTATGCTAGGTGATTTCGATATTGATTATTTTGCCGAAACAACATTTCAATACCTTAGTGTTTCACTACTAATTATTTATGTTGTTGTTGTTACCGTTTTACTATTGAATCTCTTGATCGCAATGATGGGTGACACTTATGGACGTCTTATTGGAAATGCAACCCAAATATGGTATATCTTTTATTTCGCTCTCATTCAGTTGTTAGATTCATGTCTTACTCTTTTATTACAGGTGTTTAGAACGTGCTCGTATTGTGTATGCTATCGAAAATGAAATGTCAACAGAGGAGCGTAATTTAAATAGATATTGGACAATTGTTGACGGTGAACGATATTTTCAAGTGGAAGAAGTGAATGACAAACATTTCAGAAATTCAGATGAACCAAATAAAGATATTGATCCGACCACTGAGCAAAATCAAGACGAACTGATTTTTGGACCTACATTTTCACACACATCAACAACAAAGTCATAGAACCTGCTATTAAAGAAATGGTGTTTATAGAAGTAGAGGCTACTTTTTCTCAAAGTAAAAAAAAGGTTTTTTTTAAGAAGTTGAAGTACTGAAATAGGGTATAAATACTATCCAAAAGAGGATCTCGAGACAAGGTTTACATGAACAAAAAATTTTGTACGAGGCTTTCAGATCTGCACAACCAATGATCTTACAAGATGTGGTAGTTTTGTTTTTTGAAAATGTTGAAAAAGCCTACAAGATATCGTAGGATTTTTGTAAGATCTTATCGTAATTTTTGGTAAGAATACACCAGATCTTGTAAGACGTATTCTATCCAGGAAACACCTAATAGTGTCACACTTATTATTCCTTATTACAAGATCTTGATCTTATGAATATCCAAATGTATGCTGATAGCTTGTTCATGTTTCAACGTTCAGTTTTAGATGTGACACTTCGTTTTGAACTATTGTTTTTCTTCACATATTACTACATCTTCTGATAGTGTTTTTGTGTGCTATTATGATATATGTTACATAAAATTGAAAAGCAGATACAGAAAGAAATTACAGCACTGAAAAATCTGTAGAATCAAAAGAGAATCTATCCACTGGCGATTTTTGTCAAAACGCTGAAACATTGGAAATTGTATCGGTTTCTCAGCAAGTTTGGAGAAATTATTCAGATAGAATTTGAAGGGAGGTATGAATTTCTGAAGCTTTTAAGCACAGTTAAGCTGTGTGGTTCAAAATAAATTGATTGCATCCGGTCAGATAACTACTCTCTAAAACATTTTCGTGTCGTACAGGGTATTTCTATGCTGGGATACTCTTTTTGAAATCTCTGAGTGATAAATGCACATACCTTCTTTGTTTGGTTCTGTGGAAGTCGAAATACTCTTAACCGTATTTTACAATACCATTTTGGTATTTTAGTGGTTTTGTAGGATTCCTTTGAAAGTATTTCTAATTCCACAGAACCAAACAAAGTGGGTATCTGCATTTATCACTCAAACATTCCGAAAAGAGTATCCCGCATAGAAATACCCATTTTGGTTCGATAGGATACGATAAATTTTTAGAGAGTACTGAGTGGTTTCTCAAAAACTAAGAGATGATTTCAAATATTTTTGGATAAAAAGAAATTAAGATCTTTCTGACCTACATCAGATCTGTATATACAGATAATTCAAGTTGAATCTGAATTTGTTCACATCGGTAGATGATCCATGCTTACGTAGACTCTCTTTCACGGTATTCCACCCTTTTCAATACGTCACTATCGCAAAACAAAGTATAAAATATGTAGAATATGATCAGAAGCGTCGACGATCCCAAGTATGAGTTCTTTTTAAAATAACTTCTAGTACCACGTCTTCGTTATCCAATAGTGAATATATTTTTTATACTATTGTCGTGCAATCGAACTCAGCCCTTCCTTCATTATACTAACTTCGCTGACTAAGTTGCATACGAGTCTTTGAATCATTAATTTCCATATATAAGACTTGCTTGAGTCTAAAAATTGAATAAACATATCTGACGAGACGTTGAATATTAATATACTACAAATATTAATATACTAACACCATGCCTGATTCGATCGTATAAACACAATAAATATTTTCTACAAAGATTCTGTTTATCTTGATTCAATATATAAACATATAAATACAAGTTTTTGCACAAAATATACAAATATAAAATATGAAGTTAAAAGCAAGTAGAATATGTGACTTTATATAAAAGAGAAAGAAAAATTTCTGGACTGAAAATATAGAATTAAAACAACAAATTTTTAGTTTTATAACCACGTTATTACAATATCACCAGGTGAATCTAGTTGAGATAATCTTCCGTCATCTGATGTTTGATTTGATCTTTCATATAAGACTATTCTTCGATTTTTCCGTTTTCTTCCACATAATAATTTTCCATTTCGCCAGTGAATACACTTATGAACTTGACTAATCGCTGATGAGCCGAGAACACCAACAACAATACCGCCAACAACAGCTAATGCCATTGCCGATGTACCAAATTTTGATTTATCCTTTTCTTTTTCTTGTAGTGTATTTGTCTAAATGAAAATAGACAAACTAAGAGATGGAAACAAAACAGGGTAGTATATCTGGTTACATTCACCTAGGTCGATATCCACGTTTCAACTTCCGTTTAGTTTTATAGCGAGAGTATTAGAGAGTAATTATTCGACTTGAAAAATACGACACTTTATAGATGAAATGTCAACGTCCTTACGAAAGAAAACAATCAATGTTATTTGTAAAACATCAACCACAACGAATGAACATGTTTCTTTTTAGTCGAATCTAATCCATCCTTAACATTAAATGAGCGTCTAAAGTTCGTTTGTTCTGTACAGGGATAGCAATTATTTATACACGTTGAACACATCATTTTCATAATAGTTTCTTTGTTTAATCACAAATTGTCTATTATTTAATAACATTGTCACTTCATGTCTTCAGAAGGTGCCTTCTCTCAATCAGAAAAAGTGATTATTGATGGATCAGTTTTGAGATTTTTTACATAAATCAATAGTCAGAAGTGTTCTCTTCCAGAATCTGTGTCGCTTCATTCCCTAGTGATATTCCCGTTTCATTCTTGCTGAGATCTGATCGCGAACCCGATTTTTTCCCGTGTAACGAAAAAATGTTGATCTTGACAAAATAAAATCGCGATCTTATAATTGGAATCGCATTCTTGATCAAGTTCGTTATGCGCTCCCGTTTCATTTGTTTCAAGACAGTGACGAGATCGCGGCAGGCTTATAGCGAGATCGTGTCTAATTCGAGACAAGCTCTTGAGGAGATTTTTCCTTTGCCCACCGGTGAGAAAATTTTTTTATTATTATATCATTCTGTTCCTTAAACTATCAAAGTACAAAATCAATTCTTGCGCGAAACTAGGATCACACTGACTTCGTATTTTCCTTTATCTCAGTCTGTAACGATGTAATATTTTTTTATTTCGTTCATCCGTCGATAGAAGAAAACCAGACAGACAGTGTGCGTATATTATCGTCCACTGTGTTTATTCTTTGTTCTCTTTTAACATATGTAATAGATATACAATACAAGTCAATTATAGTCATTTCTTAACTCGTTAACGCAGTGCAACGAGTGTTTTTTGGGTTTTGTTGTAGTTAATGAAAATAGACTAACTGTTTGACTAATGTCATCAGTAAGACATTACACAGCAATTTTCGAGAGAGAAGAGCATTCGGAGAGGAAAATTAATTATTTTGTCTCAAAGTTGAACTATTTTCTTCTTGACAGTTTTAGAATCGAAAGAGAATATTCTTTCTCGGACGATGCATCAAATCTAAAGTCGTCTCCAGTGTGTAGATTCAGTTAAATATGTTGACTGCAGAGATCTCAGAATGAAAAGTCACAACAGTGAAAGAAATGCACAAGGTTGAAGTATCACAAATTATGGGTTTCCTCGGTGTAAGATCGCTTTGCCGTTTGGGTCTTTCAGAATGTAGCAACGATCATTTCGATTCTGTTTGATGCACAGAGGATAGCGGCACAGCCAGAGAACCTCAATCACAGGACGCTGGATGGGTTCTAGCAACGAACTGATCCGAGTGTCGAGTATCTACAGATACACATTCACTAGAAGTTCAAGAGTGAATGTTTTCTTCACACACGGTAAACGTTACCTGATTGGCGCAACTCACAGATGAAACACAAAGACAGTCCCTCTCACTTCTATTTTGAGATCCAATGGCAGCAACGTTTCGAATCAGAACTGAAAAATACACCGATGAAGAAACTAAAGATACATCTGAGATGAAACTTCTCCCCGGCAAAAACAATATAACACTTTAGATGAGCAAATTAATAATAGTTCAACTTTGTGACATTGAAATGAAATGAAGCTTATAAGTCAAAACAAAAAAAATAACTTGTTGTATACTCTGAAGGCGTTCTAGGAGAAAATCTCTAATTACTTCATGTCCACGAAGAAAATACCGAGTAAAACATGATGAAATTTGATGGAAAAGAGATTAAATCATCGAAGGAATGTCATGTTCTCGAAGAAAATACCGAGTAAAACATGATGAAATTTGATGGAAAAGGGATTAAACCATCGAAGGAATGTAGTGACAATCGGAGAAGTGGTAGGAAAGCTTTCTCAGCCTTCCTGCAACCTTGTTCTAATCATACTGGGATCTTGGTACGACCTTGTCCGGATCCCGTTGCAATCTTTGCAGGATTTCAGCGCGATCCCGTCAAAAAATTTTCGCGTCAAGATTGTCAAATTTTCGTTACACGGGAAAAATAGCAAGATTAGATACGATCGCGGTATGGATTCCGCGTTAAGTTTCAAATTTCTTGTCAAAATCGCGGCACGATGAGGCTGTATTCTTGCCACGAAATGAAGCCGGAATGCTACTAATAGCTTACAATTAGTTTATAGAGATTTTTAGAGGAATTTTTTAAAAGTCTCAAAAATCAAAACTGTTAAAGGCTGTTCTTCAAGCTCCAGTGATTCGTTCTTCGACTATGTTGACGTGTAGAAGATACTCTTCTTTTCAAAATAAAACGTGACATAAATATGTGCGATTTTGCATTAGAAAGTTATAAGCATCCACCTACAGATTCTAAAATGCATCAATGTATACACAAAGTATTCTCTCGTTATTAGTTTTAACATCACTGTTTCAAATTTTGAACTTGGAATTAGAGAAAACTAAAAGATCACAGAAGTCGATTTGTAGTTGAACTGAAAACAAGCCTGAAACCCTCTAGCTAAAATTTTTATCGTAACCTATTAACATGGTAACCTATAATCCTTAAAAGTTTCGTTTCATTAAGATGCACGATGTAGAAAAGCGAACAATGGCACAACCACACACCAACAGATTGAACTTTTTCAAAATTTTCACCACTTTCAATAGTTACCAACTAACGCGACGATGAAATGTTTTGAACATTGAGTGCAACTAGATAAAAAGTTTCGCGCTTGCCTATGTAATATTCTGGCTCGGCATTGCAAAAGGCGTGTAATAACAAATTAATAGAACTCAATGGGTTTTTCTTAGCATTGAAATATTTTGATCATATAACCATGGATGTTTCGAACACTTGCCACACAAGATAATTCCAAGTGATAGCTTACAAGAAGAATCCATGTCCATATCTGAGTCATTGTCGACGGTGTAGCGTTTGCTGATGATCTCGATTTTGCTAATTCTGTCAATGATGAAATTTCCTAAAATAGAATAAGCATGACGCGTAAAAATGATGATGATCACACATAAGAATAGGCAGAACTTTAACAAACTAATTTTATTTATTCGTTTTTGTCGCTCTTACAAATGAATAAATACCTCCTGCTTGTGAAAGTATCTGATAAAAGCTTTAAATGTTAGAGCCAGCTCAATATCCATGTATGTTACTATATCTAGAGGCAAGACTAAGATATTTTTTGGAATAGCGAACAAAAATAACTCTGCTGGTTAATAGAATGACAAACAGTCTTTTCAAATCTTACGGTTCGAAATTTTAATATCAACGGTATTGAAGAGAACGACGACGACGACCAAGTTGCATTTGTTGAAGACAACCACCAGGTTGTATTTGTTGGTGAAACATCATGATTAAATCGAAAATGAACATCGGTTTCATTAGCATGAACAATATTTGCTTCATAACGATCAGGATTTGGATCGATTATTTTAAACTGAAATAGAACCATGTGCGAATGAAATGTAGTAGAAAAAATATACACACATCTTCCGCAGACTAACGGATTATTACCTAAAAACAATTGTAATTCATAGGACGACAAACAATTGTTAGTGTGATCTTTTCAAACCGAGTAACAGGGAAAACAAATACTGACATGTCTAAATGATGAAGTCACTATCACTATTCAGTAAAAGATTCGAATCTGAAACTTCTGACTAAAGTACTCACTCACATGACTTATGAAACCCTTTTACTGTAAACGATAGAATAGAATTTTTAACTCGACTGGTGCATTACTTAATTGTTGTAGGATAGAATTCTGCTGAATAATTGCAGATTTATTTAAAGCAGACTGAAAAAGAAATATCTAGATCAAACCAATCAGCTAAATTTTTAAAACTTACCCGACGAAATGTTAGATATATCGATGTTGTATTTGACAACCAAGTTCTATTTATTGATGATAGATTACCAATGATTCGAAAGTGAATCTCTGTTCCATCTGATTTGCTAATTGTAGCATAAATCCAATTTAATGTTTGATTCCAAGAAACGATTACTTCAACGTGCTAGAACAAAAATAGACTAGAACTCAATTATACTAACGTGAAGATAGCAAAGGTGCAAGAACTAACCATATACACTCCACCGCTGCGTGAACTAAATATTTCAGATGAAACTGACTACAGAGCTGAATCTTGATAAAGATCAATCAGAACTGCAGGAAAAAACTGACTGATAAAGTACAAAAACGTCGTAGCGATTTTCATCATGTCAATTTATGATGTATTCCTTCGAAATAAAATATCATGAATCAAATTAACAACAGTGGCATCTCTGGTCTAGCCTGGATGGTGCTCGGTGAAATATTTCTGAAAAATATCATATTTTTCTATCAAACATCAGAATATGATTTAAAAACCGGAGAAAATATAGATTCAGTCCTTCAGTTGCACTGTATCTTAGTGTCATCGTTTCAGCTGCTGCTGTTGCCGGGAATAGGTTCAGCAGAGGAACCTGGATGAATATTATCTAAGAACCGAAAGAAAGGCAATTCGGGATACAAAGAGAGCAGTGGAAAGTCCAAAGCGGATCATCTTATTGCACAATAACTTTTGTTGAAAGGCCTTATAGAAGATAGTTTCACCACAGATCGCATATTTCATTTGATTTCTGCTCAGTTTTAGAACTTGCATAGATCATGAAAATATATATGTTTTACCGGAAGTATCGTAGATCCACATCGTATTGAAGTTGAATTTATCAATGTATCATTTGTTTCGTTTGAATCAAACAACCATGACTGCTAGTAATAGAAAATAGTAGATTTTTTCTATTGGTGAAAAGAAAAATCGTTTTACTTACAGGTGGACACGGCATTGACGACGGAAATGATAGTGGCAAGTCAAACTCATTAGGCTCCATTGTAAACAGCTTGAAACAATTAACAAAAACAGTCAAACCTAAATTACAGACAGAAGTCATAAACATTCGTACTATACGTAAATTTTATTCAATAATCTTCAATTGAGGGACACCTTCTTGCACTCTCAAAAATCCTTTTCAGAAAACAATATTCACTTTCATTACACGCCTTTCCTGAGACAATAAATTTTAAGAGAGGACCTCTTTCAGAAATTTTTCATATAGCGTAACCAATTCAAACCAAAATTTGAGAAATTCGGTCAAAATTGATTCCTATCAGTGAATTCAGTAAACTTGATGATTAAAAAGATCAATACTATATCTAATTGCTAAGTATCCAACTTGAAGAAAGAAATGTTTTTACCGATCAGTGGCGGATACAGAAATGTTTTTCGGTGGAAACGAACTCGCTGGAGAAACCCCGTGGCCATAAAGCTTTTAATCAGTCATTGTTTCCAAAAGATATCTAAATACACTGTTTTTTCTATCTACAATAGTAATACTTCAGAAACAAAGCAACGATTAGTTAGAAATGAAAAAAAGATGATAGTTAGAGATATGTTGATGGTGCTAAGACGCCGGAGCCGATTTGAATCTAGTATGCGGTTTATCGAGATCATGACACTATTACCCTGAAACACTTAGGAAACATTCTATGCAACATGTCAGTGAATCTTAAGAAAAAATTTGTTAACATCTTACTTGATATCAGAATACATAGCGTAGACGGCATAAACAGTGAATTGTTCTCTTAGAACAGAGAAAAATGATGTTTCTCAAAAGTTGAAGTATAGTAGGAAGTCTGAAATAAATTAAAAAAAGTGTCAGAGAGATACACGTTACTGCGCTTTCCAGCTCAAAACAGAATGTTTCTACAGATATATAAAAATTTGCTTCGCTAGATTAACTACCGTAACGCATACTATGGTTTTGGAAAATTGGAGTGTACGACAGCTAAGGATCTACATTAGATGGTCATGTTTATGGACAGCTATTTGTTTCGTACATTCGTCCCACAGGTGTAGACAGAAGAAAATTTTTAGAAAAAAATATTGTTTTTTTAGAAAGATTTCTTTGACCGTATATAACGAAAAATAACGTGAGGATTTTATCAGAAAGAAAGAGGATATGCAGTTCAATTTAACTCTTTTGTTTCGTCTTATACTCGCACGTGCTATACATCTACTCGCAAGTATAAACACGAAAAAAGATACATGAGATGAAAGATCGTGTGGAAGAAAATAAACTTAGTCATAGGAATATGATCTTTACAGTGGTATTATACTTTATTTTTGTCGTCCTTCTTGTTATTGTGTGCATCGTAATACTACATGTTTTTTCCTCAGTGTCGCTCAACCTCGCAACAAGTAACAAACCGCCGCGATCATATAGAAAAGTGATAGTTGAAACAAAAAATAATTAGGTTTTTTAAACTACTCTGTGTTTTACATTAAATTGCTTATTTTCATCGGAACCCCATGTTTTTTATGCTTGACGGAAATTGCTATCGAGATGAAAATTCTACGGACAAATGCACATGACAAACTACACTTTCTTCTGCAATGAAAGTTTTTTAATATTATTTATTATTGAGTGAGAAGAATACATATTTGAGACAGACAGACGTCTTATATGTTTTATTCAATAAGAACGCATTATTTTATTTATTCAAACTAAATGCATGCTCATCGTTCAGGGTAAGAATAATCCGTTTTTTTTATTCTAGTGTCGTATGAACTGCCTCAGACAAATTTTGTCTGTATCAGGTCTTAGCATAAGAAATCAACCGATTCATGATAAGTTAGACAAATGTATTGGCTGTCCTAAACTTCCGATAATTAAGTTTTCCAGAAACATTGACATGCTGTCGGCAGCAGAGTCGCCATTATTGATTTTCACCGAAAATCCATTATCAGGCGCCTTTCTTCAGAACGTCAAGTACCCGAGTGTTCATATTATTATCAAATGTTCCATGAAATAATGCTACTAAAATGAGTAATACTGTAACCAGGAATTTAAACTAGGAACCAACATGAACAAGAACGCGATATTCTACAAGCGTATGAAGTTAAAATCATTGTTGCAATAAACGCCTTCAAGGTTTGTTTATATCGGATCTTTTGCGTTAAATTATCAGACACTTAATTCCACCTTTGGTTGTCTGAAAAACGCAGTTCTTTCTATCATTTGTGCATTTAGAATCTGTGGAGAAAAGCGACGTATAATCATGGACATTTT